TTCCATAACTTTCAAAAAAAGTTTTATCATTTTTAATATCCTGTTATATAATCCACTCATTTATTTTTATCATTTTTCATCTTGATCATATTATCATATTTCTGTACATTATTATTTTTTTCAACAATTATTAATTAAAAAATCCATTTTCTCTTCTTGAACATATTGTGTTGCTTAAATCTCATCAAGATCATATTTCTTGAGCATTGCCTGAAGATGGAACGTACCTAGTTCCGAAACGTCGACAGTAAATAAATAAATAAAGAAAGAAATAGTTTATTAAAAACCTTTTTTTTTGTTTTTTATTACATTTTGGATACTTGTTCGAAACTCTACAAAATATACACAAATTCAAGACTCTACCATTTAATATATATATATATATATATATATATATATATATATATATATATATGATTAATAAATAATCTCGATAGAATTCAAATGTATTTGCTTTCCGGATTTAAATATTATGACGCAAAAATAAATCAATAGGGATTTCCAAAATTTGTTTGCAAGGTAATAAAATCAATCTTAATATAAAAAGATAAGTAATACTTAAGTAAATAATGAAATGATGACTTGTAGTAAACAAGAAAAAAATATTTTTTGGAGCAAATTCAATATTGTTAATTCTGAAAGTACCTTTTAAATTAAAATGATTTTAACGTGAGATGAAATATTTTCTCTATGTGACTCGAGCATGAAGAAATATAGCTTTAGTAACTGTTTTTTATTTTTCTTTATAAATTAACTAACTAAGCGATATCTACAAAATCATGATATAAAATTCATTCTAGAATTTTAGATCCATTTTCAAATAAGCTCCCATGTTGCTACATTTTGGCCATGAAATAAAAAAGTAAAAGCGGCTCATACAACCATCTTTGTAGAAGAGACTGGGTACGTTTGAGCCACTTTGTCCTTAAATACGAGGGATTGGTCATAAAATCAAATTATATGAGAAAATATAAAAAAACGACAAGTTTCACAACCACCCTCACCACAGGGACGTTATGACCGAGCTAAGTTATCTACGCAAAAACTAATTGCTGCCAATTAACTACTAATGTTGAACTTATAGCAAAATTATAACAAAACTAGTGGCGTGCATGGCACCGTGCTTTAAAGCAAATTGCTGGGACTTCGCGCACCGTAAATAAAAATCTTGGTACGAAACCCAAAAAAAAAAAATACAAAAATGTGTACACATTACGGAAATCTCTATAAAATATTTGATAATTTGATGTGCATAAGTCCAATAATCATTTTCGACTCATCAGTTCTTCATCTTGTCAATACAAGTAAAAAGTTGTTTGAATTATTAAAATTGGACACTCCGTTCTCTTAAAAACTGAGTTACCGTTTTTGGCACTTTTTGCCCCGTATCTTTGGAACGGCTAGACCTGCCTCTGCTAAAAACTAATCAGTACGTCTCCTTATCAATACGAATCGAATGTTTTTTAAATTATCCAAATCGGTTATTCCATACTGTCGAAAATGTCGAGAACATTTGTTTGAACCATATAAATAAACTTCAAAATTAAAAATCTTGGTGCGGAGTAGAATAAAATTTACACAAAATGTGTACACATTATGAAAATATCTGATAGTTTGATGTGCATATGTCTAATGATCATTTTTGACCGCCAAAATCCATTTTTTTAACTTATTTTTATTGAGAGTCCATAACCGCTAGACATGCCTTTCTAAAAATTTAATCAGTAGTTTATCTTGTCAATACAAGTAAAATGTTTTTTGAATTATTAAAATTGAACGTGGTTCTTTTAAAAACTGAGTTACCATTTTTGGCACTTTTTGCCCCGTATCTTCAGAACGGCTAGACTTGCCGTCGCCAAAAACCCCCTTAGGGGGGCGCCAGGCTGCTCTAAGGGGGGGGGCGTACATCAGATTCTAGAATACTATTATCTAAAATAATTCAATAGTTTCGAAACGACATTAAAAAATAAACAAAAATTAATTAGTTTTTATGCATATTTTTACATAATATTGCATATTAATTAATTGTTGTCTGATAATATCAGTTGAGTATTTATAAAATTAAACTGTTGAAAAAGTTAAGGGGTCGCAACATTTTTTTTATTAGAACAGGGGATCGCGGTGCTAAAAAAGTTGGAAAACACTGGTGTAAGGTGAAATAATTTCTTCAGTAAGATAAGAGAACTATCTTATTGTAGTTATGTAGTGTTAATATAGGACATCTAGCTTATTGAATTCATAAGTCAGACGTATATATATATATATATATATATATATATATATATATATATATATAAACATAAACATACATAGGCCCACTCTGTATAGCGAACTACAACGTGACACTTCATAATTAAAACACATAAATCCACAATTAACATATATGTTCCATTGTTTATATAATATGATATATATTACACCCAGATATAATATATATATATATATATATATATATAATATATAGATATATATATATATGTATATATGTATGTGTATATGTATATAATACAAATAATGAGAATACATGGATAGCTTGAGATGTCTTTAGGCAAATTACTGGATTTTCCCGTTACGCAAACAAACATTAAATGTATAAATTAATCATGATATATGTAATCCATTTAAAATATGATACTGAACTCAGAAATATACGAGAAAATATAATGATAATAGTTTTGAAAAGCTTCATATTGGTTTGTTTTCAAAATTCTTATTGTTTAAGATTTCTATATTTATATTCGTACTTATATATTTATATATTTATATTTCTACTTATATTTATATTTCTAGTTATCTAGTTATATACTCAT